TTCACAGATGCTGGCAGACCTGCTGGGCTTTTCCAGCAACTTTGTTTTTGCTACTCTTCTGCAATATTTCCATATTCCAGAACTGGAAGTATCTGTTGGGATAAAACAGAGTTAATGTTTGAAGTCCAGTGATCCTTCTTCAGAACTGTAGAGCTACCTATAGCTGGTACCCATGATTTAAAACCGAGGAACCTGATACTCATTGTAAATGCTATTTATGTGGCTGCTGGTTCTGGCAGTAGTTGAAGTTTGCAGAGCTTTGGTTGGCAACAAGTAGCTGATTAGTCTGTGGACTAGTGATAAAATATCAAAAACAAAGACTTTCTGCCTGCAACAACTATGTGATTAGTTCTTAGATTGCTGAACAGCTTGGGGCTATGAACAAGATGCAGAGACGTCATTAGCTCTGAACCAACTCACAGGCTAGGAGATAGCAAGAACTGCAGATGCTGGAGTCAGAGTCAATATAGTGTGGAACTGGCAGAACACAGCATGTCAGGCAGAATCAGAGGAGCAGGAAAGTCAACGTTTTGGGTCGGGACACTGATGAAGGGTCCCGAACCGTAATGTCAACTTTCCTGCTCCTCTGATGCTGCCTGACATGCTGTGTTCCTCTGGCTCTGCACTGTATCAACTCACAGGCTGTATCTATTCTCTACAACAAAAGCCACTTTAAGCCTGAAGAATACCAGTTTCTTTTTCCTTCAGTTTCTGTAAGCTATAACTTTTAACTAATCAGTCGGAGACCTCGCGATAAGTGAGAACTGGCTCCCAATGTCTCCTGCAAACCAGTGAAAGCCTCCAGAGAAGAAAGACCAAGAAGTAGCATTCAGACTAGCGTAAGAAACATTCCAGTAACAGTGTGAACAGGAAACATTAAATTGCCTCCCAATTTTTCCCTCTGCCTCTAACACCTTTTTTTCTGTGTCTGTGTCTGTTTAAGGAGAAATTTACAAGGAGATTAGAGTTTTAATCAGTATGATTATATTAATGGTTTATAATTGTTTACCTGTGGCTGGAGTTTGGTTATTTGTATGGTAGCTCTTGTTAAGTACAACAATCTAGTCCATGCTTTTTGTCAATCGGATATAAAAGACAGGTTTGGGAAATCACGCAGTTTTTAAAAAATCTTTAACTTTTGCGATGTCTCCAGGATTAGCAGAGCTTGATTTCCAATGTTTTAACCCAATGAATTCTAACACTCTGTATAATGCCAGTGAAACATTTTATCTATATCCAGCCTGACACACCCTGTAAGAATTTGTTTCATCTTCATTTCTTTATTGTTATTCCGTCTAGCTTCTGTCGCATGATATCCTTTGACTTCTAAATCTCTCCTGCCTTCTGCTCTATCACAAATCACCCCCTTTAATCTTCACCCACCCGTTTCATTTGTTCAAACCGTATTGCATTTATATCTTTCTTTAGTTCTGATAAAGGATCATCAACCTGAAACATAAAACCTGTTTCTCTTCACAGATACTTCTTAACATGTTGAGTGTTTACAGCATTTTCTGTCTTTATTTCAGATTTCTGGCACCTGCAACATTTTGATTTCGAAGTACATTGTTATAACATTTCTACATATTGCACCATTCATTTTTATTTTCATTTTTTGATCAAACTGTTGATCGTGACCTGTCATTTTAATTCATTTTTGCTACTGACAACATTTGTGCTAAATTATAATGCATTTGCGGAGGTAAGGACTGATTAGGAATAGTCAGCATGACTTTGTGCATGGGAAATCGTGTCTCACAAACTTGATTGAGTTTTTTGAGGATGTGACCATGAAACCAGATGAGGGCAGAGCAGTAGATTTTGTCTACATGGACTTTAGTATGGCCTTTGACAAAGTTCTGTATGGTAGACTGGCTAATAAAATTAGATCACATGGGATTTGGGGAAAGCTGGCCAATTGGATACATAATTGGCTTAAAGGTAGGAGACAGAGGATGGTGGTGGAGGGTTGTTTTTCATACTGAAGGCCTGTGACCAGCGGTATTCTGCAGGGATTGGAGCTGGGTCCACAGTTGTTTATTATTCATGTAAACAATTTGGATGAGAATTTAGGAAGCATGGTTAATAAGTTTGCGTAAGACACCAAAATTGGTGGCATAGTGGATGGTCAAGAAGGTTATCTAAAATTTAAAAGGGATCTTGATAAATTGGGCTGGGGCTGAGGAGTGGCAAATGGAGTTTAATTTAGATACATGCAAGGTGTTGCATTTTGGTAAGATGAACAAGGACAGGACCTACTTAGGTAATGGTAGGGCCCTGGGCAGTGTTGTCAAACAGAGAGACGTAGAGGTTCAGGTACAGTTCCTTGAAAGTTGCGTCACAGGTAGACAGGGGGGTAAAGAAGGTGTTTGGCAAGCTTGCCCTCATTGCTCAGACCATTGTGTATACTAATTGGGACGTCATGTTGCATTTGTACAAGACGATGGTGAAACCATTTTTGGAGTGTTATGTACAGTTCTGGACACACTACTATAGGAAGGATATTATTAAATTGGAGAGGTGCAGAAAAGATTTACAAGGATGTTTCTGGGACTGGATGGTTTGAGTTATAAGGAGATGCTGGATAGGCTGCGACAGTTTTCCACTAGAGCGCAGGAGGTTGAGGGGTGACCTTATAGAGGGGCATAGATAAGGTGCATAACAAAGGTCTTTTCCCCAGGGTGGGAAAGTTCAAAACTAGGGGGCATATTTTTAAGGTGAGAGGAGAAAGATTTAGAAGAGACCTGAGGGACAACTTTTTCACATAGGGGGTGGTTCGTATGTGAAGTAAACTGCCAGAGGAAGTGGTAGGTGCAGGTACAGTTACAACATTTAAAATATATTTGGACAAGTACTTGAATAGAAAAGATTTAGAAGGATATGGACTAAACTCAGGCAAATGGAACAAGTTTAGTTTGGGAAACTTGGTCAGCATGGACATGATGGACTGAAGGGTTTGTTTTTCATGCTGTATGACTCTATAATCCCTACAATACAGAAAGGAAGGTATTTGGCCCATTGGATCTGCACCAACCCTCTGAAGAGCATCCCACCCAGTCCTAGCCCTGTAACCCCACATTCACCATGCCTCATCCAACTAGCCTGCACATCCCTGGACGCTACAGAGCAACTTCCCATGGCCAATCCACCTAACCTGCATGTCATTGGATTATGGGAGGAAACTGGAGTACCTAGCAGAAACCCACACAGACACGGGGAGAATGTGCAAACTCCATACAGATGGTCACCCAAGGTTAGAATCAGACCCAGGTCCTTGGCGCTGTAAGGCAGCAGTGCTAAGCACTGAGCCACCGTGACACCCCTTATTTGGAGAATATGTTAGAGAATTCGTATATAAAATTAGTCATGACACAACTGTGTCTTGGTTACCTGTGAGGCTGTAACCTTTTTTTTAGTTATTACTCTATGAATAATTCCAGCTTCCGTGTGACATATGGCTTCAGTTCTGGGCTTCCTGTGATCTTACCTTGAAGTACCATGTCCATCAATTTTGCTGGTAGTGGATCATTTCTGGTGTACTTCTTAAATTGTGCTGCCATTACCAGAGCGTTATCTATTTGTTCGAAGTAGCAAGTGTCTATAAAAGGACTGTTTGTAGTTGACTAATTTGGCAAAGGTAATCTCGAGAGCACATCAGCATTCCCATGTAAATTAGATTACTGATGATTGTATATGGGTGCACTGAGGGCAACAATGCCCACCTTTGCATACAGCTCACTGTAAGATAAATTATCCCTGTATGACCCCCAAATATTGTGGTCAATGGTCTGTAGTCTGTTAGTATGGTTAATTCCTGGCCATACAGAAATTGGTGGTATGATAGGCATGGCCCAATCATTCACATTTATGTGTTCAAGGACCACCATCTTGACCAGCCTCTCTAATTCTGCCTTGACCTTTGGTATGATTGCATAAGGCACTGATTTAACCTTGCAAAATTTTGCTTGATTCTCATGCTTAATTTTCAATTTGACAGGTATCTTTTCCATGCTTCCCAAATCCCCATTGAAAACATTCTTCCCAATAAAGTTGGAAAATTTTGTTTGACCGTGTGTAAGGGCAAATGTACAGACTGACCATATAACTGAACATTCAGTTTGCTACAACCCTCTTAAAAGTACAACTTTGCCTGTGTACGTTCTTTGTACAAGTGTTGAGATTGCAGTGCAATGTGACTCAGCTTCTTCTGGTACACACGTTTAGATATCAATGAAACCGCCGC